ACCGGTGTGACCTGTCAGATCAGAGGAGACTCTAAGTTGAGGGATTAGCCGATTGCGCTACTGCGACCTAGGGTAGTTTGGGATATGAAAAATAGTTATGAAATGGTGCACTAGTTTCGGGACAAGATTGGGCGTGCAAGTTCGTGACTTTTCGGCTTGTTTCAACTATTTCACGAAATGAAACCGGACTACTTCGTGATATCTTGAGATCACTTCCAGTTTAGTCTTTAATTACTCGAGGAATAGATAGAGGATATTTCGTGGCCGCGCAGGGACACGAAATTTCTCTTCGAGTGCTGAAAAATATTTCACGAGTGAGCCCTCCTTTCGAACTGTTTTATGATGAATTTAAAGTTACAAAATGCTGCACAAAGACATTTTGTCTTTGTTAAGTGTTACGTAGTAAAATTGCTTTCAGGCGTTGCGTGACTTTCTCGAACGTTCTCTACGTTTTTGGATTATTCATGAATAATTAATTAGGGCATGTTTACATTTGAGCATGAGTCAGCAGATTTGCATCAGTGACTGAAATCATAAAATTTGTCGAAAAGCTACTACTATTCGCCTGTTTAGTATTTTCTTGAACCTTATGTCAAACGGTATACAAGTTTCAAGCGAGTTCTTTTGACGAACTAAGTTTTTTCCCACGAGCTGGACTGCTGTGTTTAGTCAAGTGCGACGAAGGTCGATTTTCAGGTTCTGTGTTTACAAGTTCGCGGAAGCCGTAAGATATCTGAAGTTCAAGTGAGAGTTTGTTATTATTGGTAGAGGCTGTTTAGTTTTACTCAAAGTTCAAGTCAAGTTTGTGTTGGCGGATGCTGTGTTTTAAAGCTCTGTAAAGGCTATGTTCCTTTGGTGTCAAACTTCCTTGTGTTAATCCGACATCCCTGCGTGCTGATAGTCAGTGAATAATTATCCTCAAAACATTCGAACTCGTGACTTTGAGTTTTAGCCAATTCCATGCGCAACGTAATTGACTCCTTACGCATACCTTACATATCTTTAATCAGTACATGAGACTGCTATGCTGTTTTTGAAGCCTGATGTGACTAAGAAAAATAGAGAATTGTTTTTTTAGAAAGATTTGTATGGAGTCATCAGAGCATAACTGGGCTAATATCTCGAAGACAATTTGTCCCGAAATGCTAGTTTTTGGCAAGTAGGCCTCTTGGATGCTGCTCTTTTCAGAATATCCTGAGAAATCCCATAATTTCACAAGTTAACCCCTTACTCTTACTATATTTGCTTTCTTACTATTCCTCCGCATTTACAAGTAATTAGTTCCACAACCACGACGCCGAAGTGTACGCTCCGTAGCGTCTTGTTACTGATCATTTCACTCCTTCTAAGTTGCGAAAGTTGATTTGAATCTTTGCGTACATAGCACCTGGGGACTTAATCAGAACTTTAAAAGCACTGATAGAGAGAAAGGTGGGTTAATTTTGATGATAATGATGATGATGATGATGATGATAACGATATTGATGACAATGAAACAATCCGTGACGTTAGAAAAGCTGGATAAAAGGAAAGGAGATAATGATTATGTCGATAGTGCTGGTTACTGTACAAAGTAAAAGACATTGCAGCTTAGTGCATTAATAATAAAACATCCGAGCCTCACTGAACTAAAAAATGAGGAACTTTACTTGTGTAGTGGTTTTCAACAATGTTGCAAATAATTTGATCTTTCAGTGGCATCTAAAAATCAATTAGCATCCCCCTCCCTGCCTTCAGAAATTTTTACCATCCCCACTTTTCCTTGAAAAACCTTTAAGACCCCCCCAACTCTTGTGCCCCCCCTGTGTGGTATACATAATGATTTCGCGAGTGTTAAATTTCGCGATTTTCGCGATTTTTCCCAAATCGCGAAATTTTTAATACCATGCAGATCCAGAAAGTAACGAAATTCAGTCATGTTGTTTTACTAGTTATTCCATCATGTCTCAGCTAAGAGATTTTGGTACCGACTCTCACCGAACTATTTCCAAAAATTCAAGCGGATGCCGGCTCCTGATTGGGTACAAAAAAATGCTTTGTATTATTGTGCCCAATCGGCGAACAGTTTCTCCTGAGTTCTTTTCGTGAGTTCGTACACATTACGTTATAGCCAGGATTTTCCCTGAAAATGACAAGTTCACAGCTTCGTATCAAACAATGAAATATCTCCCCAAAGCATTATGCATATCAAACGTTGCAAACAACAAAAACGAACTTTGAAAAACTGTTTTGAAAAACCACAATTATAATCCGTTTCAATCTACTTCATGTTTGTCCATCCATGCCTCTTTTGTCAGAGATTTGCTGTGTTTTCATTCCTTATCTTAGTGTTTCGAAGCTTTATTTTATGTTTTACTCACTTTGGTGGCGGCTCTCTCTCTTTCGTGCCACAGCTCCTGTAAGCCAGTGTTCATTCAAGTTTTCGGCACCCTGGCAAAAAGCTCAATCTCTAATGAAGCTTCCCTCATTCCCGCCTGGCTAAAAGGTTTTGTGCACTTTGTTGAGGCCAATAATCACCTTACTTTAATTTCTGTCACGCGTACGTAGAGCCTTTCTGCCATGATACGCGCATCAAATGTCATGGCATTTCCACTCGTAAATGGCGACGCCACCACTGGTTTGCCCGCGAAGTGACGTCTGAGAAACGAGCGCAGAATCCCATACTGATGACGCGTCACTACCCAGATCTGGGTAGTAATTCTGATTGGTTAAAAATTTGCTTCAACCAATCAGAAGTACTACCAAGATCTGGATAGTGACGAAAATCAAAATCCATCCCCGATGGGACCCGAAGTAGCTCTCTGTACGGTGGTGTACTCGTGCAAGTTATGGAGTGAAATACATTGTACAAAACTCAGGGATCGTACAGAGCATCAATTTTCAGCAATTTTCCAGACCTGAAAAAAGTCTCGAAAATGGAGATAAAGTCTGAAAAAATAGTAAAAAAATCTTGCATTGAGTTTTTCTCAAAGCTACAACAAATAGTGCTTTATAAGTGACATGTTTTCGTTTTGGTCAAACCTTATTTAATTTCGCCCGTATGTTTGCAGCCTATCATGAAAAAATCTTTCTTCCTGCGTTTTTTTAAGGTCTCTATTGATCACTGACCTATTTTATAATCTGGACGAGTCTGGAAAAAGAGATTATTGTTTTGGAAAAAAATCTGGAAAAGTCTTAAATTTATTTCCTGGTATCTGTGCAAAGGATGAACGGTAGTTAAAAAAAAGGATCAGCTAGGGATTTTTGGAAGTAAAGCAGGGATGGTAAAACGGACCGAAAAGAATTGTTACCATTCCTGCCCCATTGGTTCGTTGGAGAACTTCGATGCGAACGCAGGCTAGGCGTCTAGGGATTTGGAATCACGTTTACAGTTAACGCCATTTTTATACATGTTGCTAAGCTTTCTCTTTCTTCATCTTTACCACCCCAAAATAAAGACATTCATGGCAGGTTTATCCATAAGGATAATTTAATTTTCTCAGTTTTTATCTGTTGATTTCCTAACTTGAGTAATTGTAATACTTGAACCTGATGTTCCGACTTTGTCGTCAACGTAATTCTACGACTCCGAATCGACGGGAGTGATCGTGGCAGTAACCTTTGTGAGACCAAATTTATGGATTCCAGTCGTTGAAAAGAAAATCGAGCGATTTAGAGTCGCGTTCACGGCAAACGGCAAACATTAGACCCAAGGTGACATTTTCGATTTCTTGAATTAGGAAATAAACAGGTACAAACTTTGCAAAATAATTGTTACGGATTAGACTGATCGACATGAAACTACTAACTTTTTTTGTGTAGATGCAACAACTGAATCGGCTTCTGACGAAAACTGCGCAAGGGTGGCGCAGTGGTGAGGGCTCTTGCCTCCCTTTCCCCCGCAGGGGGCGGGGTTACTCCCTATAATGGCCTTTATGGGGAGGCTCCGACCGAAAGGGGTACCTTTTTCATGCTTCAGGTATATGAAAGGATAGGTTTGTTGTTGGTTCTCTTCCTTGCCGATAGGTTTTTCTTAGGGTGCTCTTGTTTTCCCCTCTCTCCAAAAACCAACCTTTCCAAATTCCAATTCGATCCGCAAGCAACGCACGGACTCGTTTAAGCGAGTTCTTAATAACTTCTAAGTGCTCCGTGGGAAAACAAATTACAGATTACAATTTTAGTTATTTATTTTTTAAGACTGATGCCTTGGTCACGTAAAAATTGACGTTGCCGTTTGACCTGAATGGATTCTAGATCTCTCCGATATTGTAGGAAATATTTTTTGTTAAAGAGAAAATAGATAATTAAGGATAAACACGAATTTGCTATGTCAATACGCTTTATTTTAAGAAACTTGGTGAGATTATTTACAGATTACAATCAAACCTCCATGTGCGACCTTCTCGGATACGCAACATGCTGTTCGAACTACTAAAATTAGTTTTCGTACTCAAAGCACTACTGAAAAGTGGACCACCAAATCTTTGCATCATACTCAAAGCAAATACTGGTCTTCTATACTAACATACTAACCTATGCTCAGGCATGAACATTATACAATGAAATAACCTTAAGTTTACAACTGGGCTAGTTTTGGAGTTAGGACAAGTTGGTTTCGCTAGGCTTTTATTTGACTTAATTGAGTCGTCAAACCTTATTTCATAATGCAAGGTTGCAAAACTACTGCTTCTATGTTCACAAAAAGATTGGCTCTAAAATATATACAATTCTACTAAACTATAAACCTTGCAATGTTGTTTGCATTGTAATCAAACTTCAATATGCGATAATAAAAAGCTCGTTTACCTAAAAAGTATTTTTTATTTGTAGCCTTAGGGACTAATTAAGGAAGTAGGTTTTTTTTGCAGATTACCTAAAAAGACAGGGAAATTAGCTAATCCTAACGTTATTCGTGTCACAATTACAGTTTTATCATTGTCCGAGCTACCGATGTACACTTCTACATGTACAAAGCTGGTGATTTGAGCTTTTCAAGACATTTTAGAGATTAGAGTACTCAAGGTACCTACACACACACACAAAATAAGATTAGTGGGAAAAATAATTAAGCCGGCAAAGATAAACCGCTGGGCCAAGCAAGTCAGTTCTCTTTCACAGTAATTCTTTTAATCAATGTTCGTATGCTGCAGAGATTGATCCTTTACATTATCCGCCAGGGACTACCTCATTGGAATTCTGCGGAAGGGCTGTTTCGTTATTCCATGGTGTGTCGTTAGTGTAATACCTGCAACAGTAATGTATAAGAAACATAAAAATTAATAAAACACATCTACTCAACACAAAAGACTCCAGCTGGGCTAAGCGGAATTTAGGTTCATTTTACATGGGGGAGGGATCCTCCGGCTTTATCGTGGCGGAAGAGGTTTACTTATTTGAGTTTATCTCACCGCTAGAACTTTCCAATCAATTGGCATCAGAAATGAAATGTAGGGTGCACAGCTAAAATAGGTTTGAAACTTCTTGCCTTGATGACCTATGGAATCTCGGTCTTCCCTCTTTGGTCCAAGTTTAGAACCAGTATACTTGTGTAATTCAGTCAGTGTCAGCGAAAAGCCCTCTAGTTACGGTCAAGACTCCATACACAGTCCATAATTCGTACTTTGCAGTGTTTTCGATCAATTCTGAGATCTAGATCTCCGCCATAATATTTTTGATCCGATTATCTTTATATCAAACAAAAACCTTCCCTGGGCTGTTTGGTTCGGATTCATAACTGGAATTCTCTTCCTATTATATTCAGAAAGAAAAAAGTTTGTCAGCAAAACCTCACGATCATATTGAACCGTAGCAAATAAAAGAATATTGAATTATTTGTGCCTCATGTATCAGAAAAGAGAGAAAAGAATTAAATCATTCTGTGTTGTTGTAGGGATTCGGGGCTTGGTGGTTTTTTTTTTTTTTTCAAATGCAAAGTCTCGCATATACACGGGTTGACTGATAAGTACAGAGGTGTGGTCGAATGTTAAAAAGCGGTTAATTGATATTTTACCTCAGTCATAGTAAAAGCTAACTTCAGATGTAGTCAATAATGTGGCTTTTAAGGGTAAATACTGCTTTCTATTTGGTACTTAAAAGTACCAAATGCACCCAAGTTGATAAAACTGTAATACAAAAAGACCTGACAGACTTCCTATGGCTCTAATTGTCAGGAAACAATTACCTTCACTTTTCTTCACCAAAGTGAAATGACACGTCATCCCCAATCAGCATGAAAGGTGCCCACTGCCTCACTTCTGAGAAACCGTTATTTCGCATCCACTTCATGGCCCGGTGAAGACTTTCGCTTGCACTTTTCCCTTGGACAAGGTTTTCGTAGAATCTTCCCATGAACTCCTCTGTTGCTCTGTCTTGTAAGGCCCACAATGCCACCAACACTGAGCGTGCACCCGATCCTAAGAATGCTCGAGCGATTCCAACAACGCCCTCTGTTTTGATCTGTCCACGTGCGGTATGGCAACAACTAAGGACCACCAGTTTGGCTGACAGTCTAACTTGTGAAATGTCGGTCATTGACAGTAAGTAGTCTGCTTCGTGTGGAAACTCCACTGTGGAGTCAGCGGGGGTAAGAGCAATTTCTCCTCTTTCGGCATCACCATGAGCCGCGAAATGTACGAGGCTCACTGAGGGTATTCTCTGAAGAACCGCCTGCTTTGTTGCTTGCTCTCCTATTAAAAGGTGAGATTCAGGTAGTAGTCTCGCAATCATCTCTGCTTCCCCTTTCGCGCCAGGCAATGGACAGAGATACCTTAACACTCCCTTGAAATAGACATCCGTCACTCTTGGCTCACCCACAATCAATGCACCAGTTTCGCTGTGAGAGTCGGCTGGACTGTCCAGAATGAGCTTGAGAGTCGTCAAAGAAGGGACAATTCGTACCCTGAAAGAATCTGATAAATAGCGGCTACTTTCATCGTGTAATGCTGCAAACGGAACTTGGAAGAAGTAGCGATCAGGAACAACAATGATTTCAGATCCTTCTAGCAAGTCACTCACGGGAGCAATCAACATGTTGTAAACCTGAAAAAGTGTTGGCGGTTCAGGGTCCGTGTATACTTCTCCCTCATCTAAAAGAGGACGCAAGGTTGAGAGACTATCTTCCAGATTTGATCCGTTTGTAAGTTGGTTGGCGAATGAGGAGAAGAGTGATCGGTCTTCGCATTGCTCTTGAGGTAAAACGTGAAATTTTCTTAATAAGCTTTCGTTTCCAAACAGGTCATACACAGAGATTTTGCCATGCTTGCTAACATAGCTTTCACAAAGTTTCGTTCTTCGGAAAGCTACCGGTTTGTTTTGTTTCAAAACCCACAAAAATATATTGTCATCGTAGTCATAGGAGATGTAGAGGCAGGTGCTGTTGCCATTTTTCTTAATTACTTCCGCGATGCCAACAAACGATTGTGGGTTGATGGATATTTCTTTTTCAATGGAGTAGCGATTTGACATAAGTTCTGCTAGAGCTCTGGCCCGTCCAAGTTCAGCAGCGTGTAAAGCTTCATAGGGTTTCCCACAAAAACAACTCAATGAACAAAACAGCCGATAGGGAGACGCGTTCTTGTCAAAAAATGATATATTGTGGCTATCTTTGCTTCCTAGAGAAGTAAGCATTTTTTCGTAAATTTGAATGCTTGACCAGAGATCCGATAAGGCTTGAGATGTGTTTCCTAGCTTTAGGTAGCGAGACGCTTCTCCGTCTTTGTCGCCAATTTCTGTGTTGGTGGTAAGTGCTGTATGAACATTTTCTTCAGCGTTGCCATATTCTCCTACATGTACAAACAGAGCTCCTAGGTGTCCGTAGCATGACGCTTCTCCGTTTCTGTCGCCAATTTGTGTGTTGATGGTAAGTGCTTTATGAACATATTCTTCAGCCTTGGCATATTCTCCGACAGAACCAAACACATTTCCTAGGTTTTCGTAGCATGTCGCTTCTCCGTTTCTGTCGCCAATTTGTGTGTTGATGGTAAGTGCTTTATGAAGATATTCTTCAGCCTTGGCATATTCCCCGACAGATAGAAACACATTTCCTAGGTTTACGTAGCATGTCGCTTCTCCGTTTCTGTCGCCAATTTCTGTGTTGATGGTAAGTGCTTTATGAACATATTCTTCAGCCTTGGCATATTCTCTGACAGAACGAAACACAATTCCTAGGTTTACGTAGCATGTCGCTTCTCCGTTTCTGTCGCCAATTTGTGTGTTGATGGTAAGTGCTTTATGAAGATATTCTTCAGCCTTGCCATATTCTCCGAGTGAACCAAACACAATTCCTAGGCTTACGTAGCATGTCCCCTCTCCGTTTCTGTCGCCAATTTGTGTGTTGATGGTAAGTGCTTTATGAAGATATTCTTCAGCCTTGGCATATTCTCCGACAGAAAGAAACACATTTCCTAGGCTTACGTAGCATGTCGCTTCTCCGTTTCTGTCGCCAATTTGTGTCTTGATGGTAAGTGCTTTATGATGATATTCTTCAGCCTTGGCATATTCCCCGACAGAACGAAACACAATTCCTAGGTTTCCGTAGCATGACGCTTCTCCGTTTCTGTCGCCAATTTCTTTGTTGATGGTAAGTGCTTTATGAAGATATTCTTCAGCCTTGGCATATTCTCCGACAGAAAGAAACACAGTTCCTAGGCTTACGTAGCATGACGCTTCTCCGTTTCTGTCCCCAATTTGTGTGTTGATGGTAAGTGCTTTATGAACATATTCTTCAGCCTTGCCATATTCCCCGACAGAACGTAACACAATTCCTAGGTTTACGTAGCATGTCGCTTCTCCGTTTCTGTCGCCAATTTGTGTGTTGATGGTAAGTGCTTTATGAAGATATTCTTCAGCCTTGGCATATTCTCCCACAGAACCAAACACATTTCCTAGGTTTCCGTAGCATGACGCTTCTCCGTTTCTGTCGCCAATTTCTGTCTTGATGGTAAGTGCTTTATGAAGATATTCTTCAGCTTTGGCATATTCTCCGACAGATAGAAATCCAGCTGCTAGGTTTGCGTAGCATTCCGCTTCTCCGTTTCTGTCGCCAATTTCTGTCTTGATGGTAAGTGCTTTATGAAGATATTCTTCAGCCTTGGCATATTCTCCCACAGAACCAAACTCATTTCCTAGGTTTACGTAGCATGTCGCTTCTCCCTTTCTGTCGCCAATTTGTGTGTTGATGGTAAGTGCTTTATGAAGATATTCTTCAGCCTTGGCATATTCCCCGACAGAACGAAACACATTTCCTAGGTTTACGTAGCATGTCGCTTCTTCCTTTCTGTCGCCAATTTGTGTGTTGATGGTAAGTGCTTTATGAAGATATTCTTCAGGCTTGCCATATTCTCCGAGTGAACCAAACACAATTCCTAGGTTTACGTAGCATGTCGCTTCTCCGTTTCTGTCGCCAATTTCTGTCTTGATGGTAAGTGCTTTATGAAGATATTCTTCAGCCTTGGCATATTCTCCGACAGATTCAAATACATTTCCTAGGTTTACGTAGCATGACGCTTCTCCGTTTCTGTCGCCAATTTCTGTGTTGATGGTAAGTGCTTTATGAAGATATTCTTCAGCCTTGGCATATTCTCCGAGTGAACCAAACACAATTCCTAGGTTTACGTAGCATGACGCTTCTCTGTTTCTGTCGCCAATTTCTGTCTTTATGGTAAGTGCTTTATGAAGATATTCTTCAGCCTTGGCATATTCTCCGACAGAACGAAACACATTTCCTAGGTTTCCGTAGCATGACGCTTCTCCTTTTCTGTCGCCAATTTCTGTCTAGATGGTAAGTGCTTTATGAAGATATTCTTCAGCCTTGGCATATTCTCCGACAGATTTAAACACATTTCCTAGGTTTCCGTAGCATGTCGCTTCTCTGTTTCTGTCGCCAATTTCTGTGTTGATGGTAAGTGCTTTATGAAGATATTCTTCAGCTTTGGCATATTCTCCGACAGATAGAAATCCAGCTGCTAGGTTTGCGTAGAATTCCGCTTCTCCGTTTCTGTCGCCAATTTCTGTCTTGATGGTAAGTGCTTTATGAAGATATTCTTCAGCCTTGGCATATTCTCCCACAGAACCAAACACATTTCCTAGGTTTACGTAGCATGACGCTTCTCCGTTTCTGTCGCCAATTTCTGTCTTTATGGTAAGTGCTTTATGAAGATATTCTTCAGCCTTGGCATATTCTCTGACAGAACGAAACACATTTCCTAGGTTTCCGTAGCATGACGCTTCTCCGTTTCTGTCGCCAATTTCTGTCTTGATGGTAGGTGCTTTATGAAGATATTCTTCAGCCTTGGCATATTCTCCGACAGAACCAAACACATTTCCTAGGTTTACGTAGCATGTCGCTTCTCCCTTTCTGTCGCCAATTTGTGTGTTGATGGTAAATGCTTTCTGAAGATATTCTTCAGCCTTGGCATATTCCCCGACAGATAGAAACACATTTCCTAGGTTTCCGTAGGATGTCGCTTCTCTGTTTCTGTCGCCAATTTCTGTCTTGATGGTAAATGCTTTATGAAGATATTCTTCAGCCTTGGCATATTCTCCGACAGAACGAAACACATTTCCTAGGTTTAAGTAGCATGTCGCTTCTCCCTTTCTGTCGCCAATTTGTGTGTTGATGGTAACTGCTTTATAAAGATATTCTTCAGCCTTGCCATATTCTCCGAGTGAACCAAACACAATTCCTAGGTTTACGTAGCATGTCGCTTCTCCGTTTCTGTCGCCAATTTCTTTCTTGATGGTAAGTGCTTTATGAAGATATTCTTCAGCCTTGGCATATTCTCCGACAGAACCAAGCACATTTCCTAGGTTTACGTAGCATGTCGCTTCTCCCTTTCTGTCGCCAATTTGTGTGTTGATGGTAAGTGCTTTATGAAGATATTCTTCAGCCTTGGCATATTCCCCGACAGATAGAAACACATTTCCTAGGTTTCCGTAGCATGTCGCTTCTCCGTTTCTGTCGCCAATTTGTGTGTTGATGGTAAGTGCTTTATGAAGATATTCTTCAGCCTTGCCATATTCTCCCACAGAACCAAGCACATTTCCTAGGTTTACGTAGCATGTCGCTTCTCCCTTTCTGTCGCCAATTTGTGTGTTGATGGTAAGTGCTTTATGAAGATATTCTTCAGCCTTGGCATATTCCCCGACGGATAGAAACACATTTCCTAGGTTTCCGTAGCATGTCGCTTCTCCGTTTCTGTCGCCAATTTCTGTCTTGATGGTAAGTGCTTTATGAAGATATTCTTCAGCCTTGGCATATTCTCCCACAGAACCAAACACATTTCCTAGGTTTCCGTAGCATGACGCTTCTCCGTTTCTGTCGCCAATTTCTGTCTTGATGGTAAGTGCTTTATGAAGATATTCTTCAGCCTTGGCATATTCCCCGACAGAACGAAACACTTTTCCTAGGTTTACGTAGCATGTCGCTTCTCCCTTTCTGTCGCCAATTTGTGTGTTGATGGTAAGTGCTTTATGAAGATATTCTTCAGCCTTGCCATATTCTCCGAGTGAACCAAACACAATTCCTAGGTTTACGTAGCATGTCGCTTCTCCGTTTCTGTCGCCAATTTCTGTCTTGATGGTAAGTGCTTTATGAAGATATTCTTCAGCCTTGGCATATTCTCCGACACAACCAAACAGATTTCCTAGGTTTACGTAGCATGTCGCTTCTCCCTTTCTGTCGCCAATTTGTGTGTTGATGGTAAGTGCTTTATGAAGATATTCTTCAGCCTTGGCATATTCTCCGAGTGAACCAAACACAATTCCTAGGTTTACGTAGCATGACGCTTCTCTGTTTCTGTCCCCAATTTCTGTCATGATTTTAAGTGCTGTATGAAGATATTCTTCAGCCTTGGCATATTCTCCGACAGAACGAAACACATTTCCTAGGTTTCCGTAGCATGACGCTTCTCCGTTTCTGTCGCCAATTTCTGTCTTGATGGTAAGTGCTTTATGAAGATATTCTTCAGCCTTGGCATACTCTCCGACAGATTTAAACACATTTCCTAGGTTTCCGTAGCATGTCGGTTCTCCGTTTCTGTCGCCAATTTCTGTGTTGATGGTAAGTGCTTTATGAAGATATTCTTCAGCTTTGGGATATTCTCCGACAGATAGAAATCCAGCTGCTAGGTTTGCGTAGCATTCCGCTTCTCCGTTTCTGTCGCCAATTTCTGTCTTGATGGTAAGTGCTTTATGAAGATATTCTTCAGCCTTGGCATATTCTCCCACAGAACGAAACACATTTCCTAGGTTTCCGTAGCATGACGCTTCTCCGTTTCTGTCGCCAATTTCTCTCTTGATGGTAAGTGCTTTATGAAGATATTCTTCAGCCTTGGCATATTCTCCGACACAACCAAACACATTTCCTAGGTTTACGTAGCATGTCGCTTCTCCGTTTCTGTCGCCAATTTGTGTGTTGATGGTAAGTGCTTTATGAAGATATTCTTCAGCCTTGGCATATTCCCCGACAGATAGAAACACATTTCCTAGGTTTCCGTAGCATGTCGCTTCTCCGTTTCTGTCGCCAATTTCTGTGTTGATGGTAAGTGCTTTATGAAGATATTCTTCAGCCTTGGCATATTCTCCGACAGAACGAAACACATTTCCTAGGTTTACGTAGCATGTCGCTTCTCCCTTTCTGTCGCCAATTTGTGTGTTGATGGTAAGTGCTTTATGAAGATATTCTTCAGCCTTGCCATATTCTCCGAGTGAACCAAACACAATTCCTAGGTTTACGTAGCATGTCGCTTCTCCGTTTCTGTCGCCAATTTCTGTCTTGATGGTAAGTGCTTTATGAAGATATTCTTCAGCCTTGGCATATTCTCCGACAGAACCAAACACATTTCCTAGGTTTACGTAGCATGTCGCTTCTCCCTTTCTGTCGCCAATTTGTGTGTTGATGGTAAGTGCTTTATGAAGATATTCTTCAGCCTTGGCATATTCCCCGCCAGATAGAAACACATTTCCTAGGTTTCCGTAGCATGTCGCTTCTCCGTTTCTGTCGCCAATTTCTTTCTTGATGGTAAGTGCTTTATGAAGATATTCTTCAGCCTTGGCATATTCTCCGACAGAACGAAACACATTTCCTAGGTTTACGTAGCATTCCGCTTCTCCGTTTCTGTCGCCAATTTGTGTGTTGATGGTAAGTGCTTTATGAAGATATTCTTCAGCCTTGGCATATTCTCCGACAGATTTAAACACATTTCCTAGGTTTCCGTAGCATGACGCTTGTCCGTCTTTGTCTTCGATTTCTTTGTAAACGCAGAGTGCAATTTTGAGGACTGCTTGTGCTTCCTGGTATTCACTTTTTTGAAAGTACAGTTTTGATAACATCAAGGCTGTGTTACCTTCTTTTTTTTTTCTCCTAAGATTACGAAGTTGGACTAAAAGCTTTTTGCCAGATTCTATAGCTGGTGAAAGTTTCGTAATAGCAGCATTTCCATAAAACAGCCTCTTGTTCAGCGCTATACGCACTATTGTGGCAAGTTCATGTTCGTTTTCTAAGATTTTGTTGTTTAGTAGTGTTAAGCACTCGTTCCACAGCTCGATAGCCTGGACAACTCGTTTCGTGGTCCAAAGAAAATCGGCGGCAATTATGCCATGGTGAATAGCTTCTTGAACAGTGCCCATTTGGGTCTTTTCTAAAACATAAACAGGTAAAAAAACAAGACCAGAATAATTAGCAAATAGTTCTACGGAAATAGAGTTAATCTTAAATAAAAAATAAGGAAGCCAGTTAGAAACGTTAATAATAATAAGCTTTTGGCTTAAGAAATAGCTACGAATACAATAAGGTTTTCTTCAAAATGTAAAGCTTTTTCTTATACGTAACGACTCTGTGGTCTGGTCAGGTGTCATTTAAAATTGTAAATTAAGCTGATGCTATCGTAGCTGTGATTCCACGAAATATTCTGTTTCCGTTAAATGGACTTACCCAGGAATACAAAGTTACGAAAGATTTCGGTTACCCGGATCATCAGAATAAAGCTACTTACATTTAAAAGCAGTTAAGAGCCAATGTCTGTAATTTTCGAGAATCGGTTGACAGTCGTGAATTTTTGAATTTCTTCATATTTTGCTCAAATAATCTCTATAGTACACTAATTTCAAAAATCACCTTAAAACTTGTAACAGCTTTCTTTTTTTTCAGGAATCAGGTAAAGTTTGAAAAACTCTAAATCGGCGCTCTTTCGAGTATGAAATTTGCGAAAATTGAGCATTTTCCTCCTCGCTCGTACGTAAAAACGGAATAATATCTCCAGATGAAATCAAGTCACAAAACAGACACACATTTTTACTTTATAATTCAGCAATGAACTTTAAATGAACCGTTTAAATGAGACTGTACCGGCCGCAAGAAGAAACACGGTTTCAGCACTTTTCAAAAATGGCAAATTTGACCTAACTTCACCATCGTAAAAACCCACTTGGTACATGCAATTTCAGTATGAAACATAAACTGTATTAAAGCATATCCTTTGCTGTTGTTTGTGTTAAAATATTTCTGGCGGCATTCCAAATGCGCACCGTCGAGAGACCAAAACCTGAAGGGTATTTTGACACCAGGAAAGCGCGTGCAACAAGCAAGTTTCGACGCTTGGAATATTAATCCTTTGCAAACATAAGTTACTTCGACATTTAAACCCTAGTCAGAGTTGCAACGGTTTCAGACTATATTTCGGCGTTTCTGTTCGGTTTAACATGATTCCTTTCAACTGATTTTTGCGATAAACCATAATGAAGAGACACGAATACGCAGTTCAAATCAAAGTTCGTAGAGAGGAATATTGTCAAAATACTCGCTTGTTATAGTTTTAACCTTATTGAAACCTTAAAATCAGAAAAGTTATTTACTTACCTGAACTTAAATGCTAGACGGGGTCACAGTACCGCTAACTAAATTGATCTAAATTCTGCATCAAGGCAGATTCAAAGTTAAGTTTGTGTATGTTTTCAATCTGTCAACACGAGGGAAGATAACATTCCGGAAGTGCGTGACGCGTAACGCGCCGGAAAAGAAATTGCTGGTATACGTGTTTTACGGTGCAAGTCTTTGTTGTATTCGTATAGCATCTCGCACATATTCAAACTTGGTTTGTGGCGCCTGTGGCCCCAGTAATGCTGAATGTATTGGGATCATAGAAAAGATGTCGTGAGTCACTTGGTATGCTCCTGACTTGTTAGTCACGTGAGTATGTTAATGATAGAAGTAAGGTTTTCTGCATTTACGTTAGGGACCTTTGTTTGATCCACGAAATTGGCGCATGAACATAGGAGTTTTTCCTCACCACCGCTAAATGTTTGATTCTGGGTGGCGGTGCAACAAATCACGTGGTACCGTTCTAGATTAGGCTACTGGCTGCTCATAGAGGGGTCCATAAAGGCACATTGATTGATGACTCTGTATGGACTGAAGGAAATGATTTACGCAGACGTTTTCTGAGCGACAAAGGTGCAGCTTTTACACTCCTTTTTCGTTTCGAAAATAGACGAACACGCAAGCGAAGCGAGCGCGCGAGAGAGATCTCCTTGCGCTAATGGTCAATAAATCCAATGCGGTTTTTATTTTCATACGCGAAAATCGACGATCAAAGAGAAAATAGATCGACGATCTCTAAAGAAAAAGTAGGGGGTCTGTGAACAGGCTACGAAAGTGCTTGCTATTATTTTAGTGAACTTTACAAGAGGTCTCAGGTGACTATGCTAACGTCATGAAAAGTCTACTTAGCTTGTTTAAGTTTAGCTAGGGCAAGAGGAGGAGATGGGTGGGTTGGTACACATACAAAAATTCAAGTCTTTATCACTCCACTTAGAGCTAGCAGACTTTGTTTGATCCACAAAATTGGCGCATGAAAATAGAAGTTTTTACTCACCACCGCTAAATGTTTGGTTTCGGGTGGCGGAGCACAAATCACCTTGTACCGTTCCAGAACCGCCTACTGTCTGCTCCTTTAAAAGGGGTCCGTAAGGGCACATTAATTAATGACTCTGCGCGGCCTGAAGAAAATGATATACGCAGACGTTTTCTGAGCGACGAAGGTGCAGTCTTTACACTTCTTTTTCTTTTCGCAAATGGCCACGGACTTCTCCCCTCGCCCTTCGCTGCTGGGCAGTCGTTTTTGCCTGAGGGATACCACCTCGAAGGAGTTTTAGCGCACAGGTCTCTGCTGGTGCAGACCTAGCGAAAAGGGCATTCTCCATCTGAAATTTTAAATCGATATGAAAGGCTATTTTCTGATTTGGTTAAAAGATGATAAGTAAAATGGCTGAGACATTTTAAAGCATTTTTTCATTTAGGCGACGGATTTTGACGTTATGAAAAAGAACTTGTCAGTGAATTGGTTTATATTCTAGCCTGCGAACAAGTGCCGGGGGGGGAGGGGGGTGGCGGAGAGAGCCAGGTGACTATTCCTTTTTTTAGGCGGGAGCTAGCATGTACGTGCATTCTGGTCTAACGCCATAATGAGTAGACTGGCCTTTAAGGGGCGGGAGATCAGATCGTCAACAGCAGGTTGAGGTCTAGCCAGAAGATACCCTTGCTGCAGAGGAGCAAAGCAATACTACTTTCAGTAATTTAAACATGTTAAATACTTGTATTTCGTTCATTAAATGTGTCCATTGTCCATTGTCGATTTGTGGTTTTTCGGAATGTTCTTTTGCGGAGCATTGGACAATTTTTCTTAAACCAGTTTTTTACTCGTTTCCATTTCCCTGCTCTACCTTCATGCTGCATATGGCGTACGTGTGTACCTAAATCCCTCAATTCATACTGAGGTGATCGATAGAGAAGTCTATACGCCAAGCGGGGTTAAGATTAGTTAATAAAACCAAAGGCTCAGAAGGCTAAGTGCAATGAAAAGAAAACTAGTGTGAAACGTTTTGCAGACTCGGCTTGCTCTATTTGTTTTCTTTCTCTGTTTAAGTTTCGGCTTGTGCATCCTAAAATCAAGTTTGGTTCGACCTGTTTTGGGGAATATAAAATATAAAAACACTCGTGCGATGATTTATCCTTGTCTGTACAGTTGCGTGACAAGACTCAAATCAAACACGGGCTTTCATCACGCAACACAGGGTTTAGTCCGTGGCTAAACGACGGAAGATTTCAGTAAACTGCGGCCACTTGCAGTTGAAACGACTGGTAAGTAAATTCTTATAGATCTCGTATCTCATTTAGAGCTAGCAAGCCGTTTCTAGCGGCTTTATATTAGGTGCAGAAACTCGAGGTCAATATTTACACTCAACACGAAATTAGCAGCCAGAGCAGCGCTGTCCTTTTCAGCTACTTGCGTGCAATCAAATGCACGGTTAATCTACTTAGTTCTTTTTTATTACTATCAAATTGAAAAGTGTTTTTCAAAAGATTTTAAGAACTTCCCGTAATGTGCCCCTTGTAAAAGAAGTTAAGTTTGCGAAAACGTTTGTGTGCTTACACTTGCGGCTAGTTTGTTGCAGCGTTCCAACGTGCGAAACTACCCTGCACGTTTCGGTGTCTCAGCGACGCACTTTTGTAATGCCGCCAAAACTTTTTTAACACAAGAAACGGCAAAAAATGTACTTTAAAATAGTGTTTGTTTCATGTTGAAATTCTATGTACCAATTGGGTTTTTTCGATGGTGAAGTTAGGTCAAATTTGCCATTTTTGTAAAGAGCCGAAATCGTGTTTCTTCTTGCGGTCGACACAGTCACATTTAAACAGCTTATCTGAAGATAACTGCTGAATTATAAAGTACAAGACTGTGTTTGCTTTGTGACTTGATTTCATTGAGAGATATCATCCTGTTTATATGTACGAGCGCCAAGAAAATGCTTAATTTTCGCTAATTTCATACTCGAAAGAGCGCCGATTTAGCCTTTTTCAAACTTTGCCCGATTCAGGAAAAAATAAAAAGCCGTTACAAGTTTTAAATGTGATTTTTGAAATAAGTGTACTATAGAGATTATTTGGGCAAAATATGAAGAAATTCAAAAATTCACGACTGTCAACCGATTCTCGAAAATTACAGACATTGGCTCTTAAGTTGTTGAAGTAAATGATCATGAGTTCTGTTTGTTGAAATCTAAGTCTATAAAACATGTATCTGCATGCAGTCTTGTATTTACAAGAAATCTTTTAGTTTTTAGGTTTCTTTGCATTTTTGAAAAAGGTGGTTTCTCTTGTAGAATTTTAAGTTAGGAACAACTATATTGGAAGAATTAAAAGAACGTCTAAAAGGTTGAAAGGCATGTGACAGTACATTAAAATTCCTAACATTGATAAGCTTGCATCATTTCATTAAAAATTCGATAGAGTTTATATTGTAATATTAAGTGGCAAACAATATGTTAGTAATTAAATTGATAAGTAAAGTTGGGAATCTCCTCTGAAAGGCTCAGCAGAGCTTGTTGAGATCTCCTGCTCATGCATAGCTACAAATACCAAATGTACATTATATTAGTTTTTACAATAATGCGCGAATAAAATAAAAATACATACATAATGATTTAAGACTATAAAGAAAACCTATCAGTAGAACGCAAATAATTATGTATAGGAATATATTACAATTAAGTTTAAGAAAGAGGAAACTTTCTATAGATAATTTGTTTTGAAAAGAGGAGGTTATAAACTCGAAAGTGGGAAGTCCACAAAT